GAATGTTTAGTATACATTTTGCGGAGATGTCATGGACATACATATTTATGTTGATAGTTAATTAGATAATATGAATAGATAGAAATAGATAAAAATAGATTAATTTAATAATATCTTCTAAAAAAGCATCTTAGATGCTTCATAAATATGATTCTATCTTTATATGTGTCTATAGGTGATTTATAGATTAAAAACTTCGCCAATAAGTTAGACACCTATTACATGTATTAGTAGCTTGTGGTATAAGCTAACAATGTGGTTTACATATAAGAAACTCATCTTACAAATTAAGACATATGTCTTATAAATTGGACATGTATTGGAGGTCCTGTAGAACATTGCTACATAGCTCTTAGGTAGATAGTATATATAAAGGCAAGAGTGAAGCTTTTTTTTACTATTGTCAATTCTTTTCTTGTTTTTAGTTTAATTTCAAGAGTCTTTAGATTTCTAACTTTGGCAATAGCAATTCTAGTTTCTTTTTTAATATACATACTTTCTTATTAGTATTTTATCATCTCTCTTTGATACTTATCTAAGTTGTTTATGTGTCTTCTTTGAGTTCTTGTCCTTGTTAGGTGGAACTTATTAAAAATTAATAATCAATACCACTCACCTTCGAAGACAAGGCATTTGAATCAGCTTTGGCTACATTTGTAGGTGAAGCAGCTAGAAAGGATTGAATCATAGATTCAAGTGCAAGCCATTACTACTTTAGGCACCTTAGCAACCTTTCATTGATGAAAGGTATATATCAAAGAATATACTTAAATTATCAAAACTGAAAGCTGAAATATGAATACCCTGTCTGTAATCTTGATGATAGCGAATCTACCCTTCACTTTTCTGATAATATCAAATGTATGCTTGACCTTGATAAACTATGAATATTATACATACTTGTGTGGACATAAATATTATCCATATTTATGTGGAAATGAGCCCAAACCACGTGCGACGCATAGTTCGGCCAGGCACTTTCCTGCGCAGTCCAGTTCGGGCACCGGATGGATCGGACGCCTCCTCTCCGAGGCTGCCGTCGCAAACTGTGGTACGAACTGGCTTACTCCAAGGCCAATGGCCAAAGTGTAGAGAAGCGACCGACTGTGGCAGATTGCCTTTGGCTCGGGATTCAAATGCAGACTGGAAAGCCATGCAGTAAATCGAACCAGAGCCGGCAACAGGCTGTGCCATGATTTTCTGTCATTTGCATCATTTCACAACATTACCTTGCGGTAGAATCGCTGTTCGGCCCCTCGTTTCTTTGCTTGTGGCTGTGCACTCTGATCACCAGGAGTCTAATCGTTCTCATGACCACTCTTTTATGTCCTCTATTATAGATTTCTTCTTTTTGCAACATTTTTTCTTTAGTAATTTCAATTTCGTATCATATCCTTTTTATAAATTTTATGATTATAAATTCTTATTATAATTTATTAAAAACTTAAAAAATTAGAAGAAAATAACAATTACAATGTCAAAAATTACTTGGAAATGCTATGTTTCTACAAAATAAATCCCAGTAACTTCTCCTAAAAGCAAATAAACACACTAGAAACAAGACGAATAAACACAATAGAAAATAAATAAAACAAAAAAAAAAAAGCGATTAGTTCATAACTACCCATTAGTACAAATCATACGCAGCACCCACTTTCTGGGTCTAAACAGAGTACTACAGTTGTGTGTATGTCTGCGCAATTCCCTTGTGTCATGAATTGCAACATCTCAACTGCACATTTCACTGAATTTGGAGCTATTCTTACAATCCAGAGTTGGAGCATGATGAATCATCCGGTCCTCTGTCAATTGTCAGTGTCTACCAGCCAGTCCTAATGTCGGGATGACACAAACTCACTGCCAATCTAGAATTGTTTGGCAATTTGGGTGTTTTCTTAAGAAACATGAGACAAATCTGAGGTGTGGATTCAGCCGTTACTGCTCTTGAGCTGTTTTCAATTCAGCGATGCTGCAGAATTTCGAAGAAGGCAATCTGCCACAGTCGGTCGCCTCCGTATTATCTAATCCTCGACAGAAATCGTCGAATGGCCTTCTTACATAACGTCCATAAGCTCTGGGTGAAATCTGCTGGAACCATCAGAGTCTCGCCTTCGTCCAGTTTCGCTACGATCCAATGTCGCTCAAGAGCCTGCAATACATCTCGTATCACATCTATCCCATCGCTTCTAAATTAATATTTCTAGATCCACAAACCAGTTCTGGTGATTCCAGCTGCACTACACACAGGCACACTGCTCCTGCGCTTCAAATCAGATAGGCCGTGAATCCTTCTGAAGCCTATCACTATTTCAACAGCGCCATAATGCCCTGCTCATGCTCCAAATCACCCCATCACGCTGTCGACGATAACCAAGATTGGTGTCAAACAAATACCATTTCCCATCATTGGGTTCGTGGTAGCAGCCCTCCTGATATCTGGATCTGCCCTCCCTTCTTAACACCCAACAGATGCAGGTACTTCCTCACAACGAAACGAACAGCTGAGGTTAGGAAAGAAGACCAAAGAGTGGTCATGAGAACGATGAAAGGTTGCTAAGGTGCCCAAAGTAGTAATGGCTTTAAATGACTCACAATTTTATACCATAGGTTGTATTCCATGGTTTTTGAAATCTATAGCATGGATCCTCTCTGCAATCTTAATTGCCTCTTCAAATTTTTATGGATTCTTTAATTCCACCTCTCTCTGGACCACAAGTTTCAACCCTCATATAAATCAATTTATTATCTCTGCTTTTGAAACATTGCCAACTAATCGCATGCTAACTTCTCCGCATTGATGGACCAAATTGACTCATAAGCTTTGTCTCAAATTCTTCCTAGTCACAAAATCCACCTTGAGCTCTATAGCTTTGAACTCAATGTTACTACCAAATGGTTGTCGCACCTTTCAAATAGTTGGTAACATATATAATTTCTTCAGTGGTGTTTGATCCAGATAGTTGGAGGTATTGTCACATGCTAAAAAGCCATTGGCATACATCTTCTTGCCTTGAAGTCTTAGAATATGTATTAAGCTTACTTAATTTCAACTTAGCAAATGTTGACTCTTTTGTCCTAGATGCTTCCATTTGTCCTTATAAAGTAGCTATTTAGCCTAGAAGGTGATGTATCTAAGTCTCTATCTAAGATTACATTGCCATATCTCTCATACTGTAATTTCCTTATTGAATTCTACTGCTATAATTCTTTCTCCTCTTCTAGTTGACTTCTTAAAAGTAACTCATGGTAGCTCCAAAATAGTATGTAATATGATCACAAAAATTGACCTTCAAGTAGATGGTGGCTATCACATTCAATCTATAGCAATATAAATCCCATCACAATGTAGGACAACATAGATGAGAACAAAAGTGAATAAAATTAGATAGATTAGAACATAAAAGCCAAAATAGAGCAAAAAAAATAGAACAAAATTGAATAAAAAAGTGCAAAACCAAACTTTACTAAGAAAATGGAATCAAAGCCATACCTAATCGAATATACAAATGGTCTTAGCCACTCCTATTTATACTTTGTCTAACCATTGTGGAACTTTTTAGAATGTTCTTAATGGTAGATCTCACCTAAATAATTGCTTTAAGTCTTTTCTAGAATGTTCCATGGTGGATCCCATATACACCACTAACCTAGCCTCAATTCTAAAAACTTCTAAAAACTTTCCAAATATGGCTCCAATTACATATTTCTATGCATCAATAATATAAATATCTTATACATATTCCATTACACTATAACTAATTTAGAATGTATGCTTTCATTAATTCTCTTTTTTAATATATACTAGATTGTAGACTCTCATAGATCTATTTTAGAATACCTCTTAGACTTGCTCAATTAATAAATATATTTTAATATTTTCTTTAAAATAAAATATTCTTTAACAATTAATTTAATAAATCAAATAATTTAACAATATCTATGAAGATTTATCTAGTGCCTTTATGAAATAAAATAAAATAAATTGCTAATTTTTTAATAATTATTTTATTATTAATGATTATTTTTTAAAGTTCTTTATAAGTCTATGTTCTTAGTTAAAATATGTGTATTATAACAAGGTTACTCTAATTTATAATTACAAATTCATATTATATTTTAAAACATAGTATTTTTTTTGTATTAACGTTTCTTAATAAAATGTGGTAATTTTTTAAAAAAATTATATACTTTTTAGAAAAATATTTTATACATGTATATAATTTTTTAAATATAAGTATTATTATAAATCTAATATATTTAATTTGATAAATTTAAATACATATTAAACTTTAATTCAAACATTCTCTACTATAGCTTTAAAACAAATCCATATGTTCTTTGCTTAGCTCCTATTTCTTTTTAATATAAATAAACACTTTATTATGTATTTTTTCAATGTAATAATTATAATATATCTATAAAATTAGATAAGATTTACGAAAATTAATAAATTCAAGAATTACTACTACTTACAAACTTGTAAAGGCATATTTCATGTTATTTGTATTACATGTAATTATGTGCATATATATATATATATATATATATAATCTTATTTAAAATATACTATGTTAGAATATATATAAAAATCCATTGTTTATTTTTCATCAAATATAATATGTTATTCTAAATATTATGATAAATAAATTAGTAAATTTATCCTTCAAAGTACACATAAACATATAGACTAATACTTACATTGCATCAAACAAGCAGACGAAGAGTTTGGCAGGGCGGTGGCATTCTATCTGAAAAGCTCACGTAAATCAAATTTGTTCTAATGATAACCGACCACGTGTACACAGCGTAGGTGAACGGTATACCAATCTGGGATTGAAGGTTCGAATCCTGACTACAGGCATCCTTCCCAACTTCTTTGAAGTCTTCCTCAAGGCACCCACGCAATTCCGAGAAAAGGCAAACAAAGTACCGTAAAAAAGGTGGTTCTACAGCTTCGTCGTCTGCAGAGTCGTCGTTGATTGCGGGATGGATTTGACGAGTGATATGCTGTGTTCCACATACCTGGACACTTTAATCAGAATGAGATGCCCCAAATTCCACACTGTCACGGCATTGTTTATTTTGTTGCGACGTGCGACAACTTTTCCGACTGAACCCAAGTCGCTGATTGTTACAGTTCCTCATCGACATATTGATGGTGAGTTGATGCTAGACTTCGGGTGGATGTGCTGCGCATGTTTCATGTCCAAGCTGCGATCTCCTTAAAGGATTTAGGTTTTGCTGTCGGTCAAAATCAGCCCGTCCAGTAGGGCTGCACCGACAATACAGTTCGGGAACCTGCTCAGTGTAAGAACGTAGATATTTACGATGCGTAGGATGACTTACCATTTTTTCTGTTCTTATCGTGAACGAGTCATTCCATTCAGCCACTAATTTGTCCAAGATCCGCATGGTGCAGATTACACTGTCTGCATGGAATGGTGTCTTTCGTTCAAGTATTATCGTATAATTCTCTGTGTATTCTTGTGAGTTCGTGGTTATGTTGTGATCACTTCCGCAGATCCTTTGGGTGGGACTTGAGCGTGGAGAAGGACCACAAGTTCCTGTTTCAAAGAGTTGTTCCCTGCTGGTGCTAGAGAATCACAGGTTGCCACTCTCTCTCTCTCTCTCTCTCTCTCTCTCTCTCTTTGTCTGTTATTTATAAATCGTTTCCTGTCATGAATTCACGCGCCGTTCCATCCTATTCGGTTGCTTTCTTCCGCTGGAAACTTACAGGGTATGTGATTTTAGTGTTGCCAATTTCAGACCTGCTGACTGAAGAGCAAAGGAGGAGTTTGAAAGGTGACGAAGGGTGAAGGCCGATGGCTGGGCGGCTATTGGTAGAGTTGGAGAGCATTCAGTTGAAAACCAAAACATTAAGTAAGTATCCTGCCTCTTTTGCTTTTATTTTTAATTGGTATGCTTTGAGGTTGAGTGACGACACCGCTTTGTTACTGTTCCTATCATGAGGTTCCTAAGCTTTGAGGTGTGCGGGTCGCTCTTGGAGGTATCATTGACAAGAGCAGTTCTTACGTGTAGGAGCGGACGGCTGAAGTGATTTCATTATTATGTTGTGGAAGCAGATTTCTTTGCAGTGAAATCTTTTGCTGTTCTGGACTTCAAAAACGAATCGAAAAGAGGACAATTTCGTACATGTAAGTTCCACTCTACCGACAGATGCCTTTCACTATCTTTTTCTTGTTAACTTTCTGATCTCTGGTAACTAAGAAAAGGTTGAGATGATCTCGATTTCGCAGCTCAGACTTAATATTCGGCTTGTTCGCAGTACAAGCTCCTGCACCAGACAGGGGTTACCATTGGGGAGAAACTTTTGACTTCGATGTGGAAGCTGATCCGAAGGCGGATAAAATCTGGGTGTCTGTTTACAAGGAAAAAAGCAAGTTTGATAAGAAAATTGGAGGATGCGAGTAAGTAATTCTGGCCTCATTGAATTGAACCTGACCATGAATAATGAGGCATGAGTGTCTTGCAATATCCCGAAGGACATTTTTAAGGAGATCATAAAACTATTGTGGCAGGATTCTGCTTTACGATGCAACTGTTATGAGAGGGGAGCCCTCAAGGTGTAAATATCAATTAACAGACAAAAAATCTGGAGGTTCAAGCACTGGTGAAGTTACGATAGTCGTGAGGTTCTATCGAAATGCTCCGCAGCTTCAGGTGTTTATCGTACCCTAAATAAAATTCTACCGCTTGTCTCATTTACCGCTTGATATCATGTCTCTTAAAAAAATGTTGAGGTTTTGTAAGTGGATTGGGCCTAAACAAACTTCTGTCACATGTTTCTGGCTCATTTAATCATTGTTCTGCGGCTCTGCATTTTACAAAGTGCTGGGGCTCAACAAATGGATGCAAGGCATTGACATCCTAACTTCACATATCGACCACGACATCTTGAATAATAGCTAACATAAAAACATGTTTACTTTTATGATGATTGTAGGCGGCGCTTCAACACACTCAAAATGAGGTACTGAGGCTGGAGAGAGAGTTGAAGTTGAAGACCGAAGTTGAGAGAGCACTAATTGTTTCGGGATCACCCGCGTCGACCAGAAACACTGCCCCTGCTCCCTTGGGTATTGGAGGCTTGACTGCAACGGTACGCAAGGTGGAGCAGTGGAGATTGCAGGTATCCATTCAACTCACCAGGAATGAAATAGTTAGAGTGCGTGATAAAACCCCACTGTCTTGTTTGTTGTGGGTTCAGTGAACTCAAGCCCATCATCGAAAATTCTAAGCTTATGTTGTGCAGACCCAACTGATGAAACTAGAAAATGAAATGAAATGGGCGGAGAACGAGACAAGGTGGGAGGAGAACCGTGCGAAGTGGGCAGAGAACGATGCCAAAAGGCGGGAAAACAGTGCAGAATGGGAAAAGAACCGTGAGAGATGGGAAGCAAACGATGCCAGATGGCTACAGACTGCTCTAAGAATTTCTGAGGGTCAAGCAAAGCAGACTTACAGCATGTTGGAGACATGCAAAGAGACGCTGAAAACCGACATTGTGAATTTCGGACATCAACTCCACGTCATGATCGTAGCTGTGAAAGTGTGGTTCAGTCAACAATGAGCCATATCCAGTTCAGATCTTCATTTAACTCCAAGTTGGAGCTCAACATCAAACTTGGGGCTGGAGGTTGCTTTACATGAAGCTTACAAGTTTTGCAACATCATCTTGTCATTCTGGCATGTCATGTGTAGCAGGAATACACTTAGTTAATGCGGAGGTTGTCGATCAGTCCCTTCTAGAAGACGCACACACTCTGTCTCCCAAAACATGCGCGCTGATCAATGATCTTATACAATCAATAGTTAACGAGCTTGGCTACTGGCATAATGATTTTAAGATATATATATATATATATATATATATATAGATATTTTTGTTTTATTTATTTTCTATTGTGTTTATTCGTCTTGTTTTTAGTGTGTTTATTTGCTTTCAGGAGAAGTTACTGGGATTTATTTTGTAGAAACATAGCATTTCCAAGTAATTTTTGACATTGTAATTGTTATTTTCTTCTAATTTTTTAAGTTTTTAATAAATTATAATAAGAATTTATAATCATAAAATTTATAAAAAGAATATGATACGAAATTGAAATTACTAAAGAAAAAATGTTGCAAAAAGAAGAAATCTATAATAGAGGACATAAAAGAGTGGTCATGAGAACGATTAGACTCCTGGTGATCAGAGTGCACAGCCACAAGCAAAGAAACGAGGGGCCGAACAGCGATTCTACCGCAAGGTAATGTTGTGAAATGATGCAAATGACAGAAAATCATGGCACAGCCTGTTGCCGGCTCTGGTTCGATTTACTGCATGGCTTTCCAGTCTGCATTTGAATCCCGAGCCAAAGGCAATCTGCCACAGTCGGTCGCCTCTCTACACTTAGGCCATTGGCCTCGGAGTAAGCCAGTTCGTACCACAGTTTGCGACGGCAGCCTCGGAGAGGAGGCGTCCGATCCATCCGGTGCCCGAACTGGACTGCGCAGGAAAGTGCCTGGCCGAACTATGCGTCGCACGTGGTTTGGGCTCATTTCCACATAAATATGGATAATATTTATGTCCACACAAGTATGTATAATATTCATAGTTTATCAAGGTCAAGCATACATTTGATATTATCAGAAAAGTGAAGGGTAGATTCGCTATCATCAAGATTACAGACAGGGGTATTCTTCATATTTCAGCATATTTCAAGGGTATGTATGATATTTTTCCTAAAAACAACATGTCCAAGATGTCATTTGGAAAAATACACAAAGAAAGAGCTGCAAAGAAAAGCAAATTTAGAATAGAAGCATCTTTGCATTAATCCATGCTTGATTTATGCAAGCTAATAATAAAGTCTTTAAGAGGTTTGCAATACTTTTTCACAATAATTAATGATTATACTAGGTATAAATGGGTTTATTTTCTAAAAACTAAAGATAAAATCATCCATAAATATAGGGGCTTCTTTAAGCATGTAGAAAATTAGTTTAAACTTATTCAATTATTCAAAACATATAGAGGGAGAGAATTTATGTCCCAAAAGTTCAAACAATTACTTAACAATCTTTGGATTAAAATGGAATTAATAGCTCCATTCAAATCCCATCAAAATAGAGTTTCTAAACAAAAGAATTATATCTTTATGGAAAAGGTGCACAATATGATGATCACTACTCAAGTACTAGAATATCATTAGACTGCAGCAGTGCTTATAGTTGCTCAATTAAATAAGGTATCTTCCACCAAAGCAAACAATGAAGTTATTCCACAAAAGAAATTATATGGAAATAAATCTTGTCTTGATGCAATCCAAATTTTTGGATGCACAAATTATGTACATAATAAAACCTATCAGACTAAAATAAAATCCAAAGCTATGGTTTGTAAGTTTGTAGGCTATAATAAGACTTCTAAGATTGATAGGTGTTTTGATCCTATAAAGATAAAAGTAATACTTTCTCAAGATATTCAATTTGACAAAAAGAATGTTTGGAGCAATATATCTTCTCAAATAGATAAGAATTAGAGTGGTATCTTTTTGTATCAATTATATATATATAAAAAAATATAATATTAAGAAAAAAATTTACTACCAAAAAATCATATACTTATAGCTAAAGATGACTTATAACAAATTTTCAAGTCTTTGGATTTATTATATCCACTTGATAATTCACTTGTTAATTTTGTGCAAGAAAAATCTATTAAAAATCTTTCAACCTCTTACAAACATGGATTGCACATATTATCTATATACTAAGAACAATTTAGCATGATTAATACAAGACATATGAGAACATATGCATGTACTAATTGCAAACTAGATAGCTATTAGTAAGAAAGTAATTATGATTACTAAGCAATATTAATTGAAGAACTTATGGTAGGAGTTGAATATGTTGCTTTCTACTAAGCCAATCAAGATAAGAATTGGAGAGATACTATGAAGATTGAAATAGACATAATCTTACGAACATATACATGTAAGCTAGTAATTAAATATATAAATAGGTAGAAATAAGTAGAAGTAGGTAAAAATAAGTTAATTCTATAATATCTTCTATAAAAGCTTCCTAAAAGCTTTATAGATGTTACTTTGACTTTATAGGTGTTTATAATTGACTTTTTAGGTTAAAAAAATGGTCAACAAGTTGGTCATGTACCACACATGTTGTTAGCTTGAAGACCAAGCTAACTATGTGGCCCACACATAGAAAAATTTGCCTTATAAGTCAAAGCATGTGTCCTACAAAGTCAACACATATTAAAGGTCCTATAGAACATTGCCACATTGTTGTAGTATAATTGCTTATAGTATGTAAAAATTAATTAGAACATATAATATGTTTATAAGTCTTGGTGTATGTTAGAATGGTTAATAGATTAATTTAAAGTCAGTGGATATAAAAAACTTTATTTTGAGTTTTATCTATTTTGATTATAGCATTTAAAAAAATTATAGGACCAAAATGTTTAGTATGAAGCCTTGTGAGGAGATTAGAGCCTAAAGAAGAAAATCTCAACTAATAGGAGGCTTATTAGTAGCGATGAAAGCAAGGCATGGTTGGATGAAGGAAAGGAATGGGAAACTTCAATCCTATTGGTCAAAGGCCATGCCCAATGGGCTTCAAGGAGGCTGCCCGAGGCCTTATTAGGAATTAGGATTTCTCTTTTAAGGTCAATCGAACTTTGGAGGCTATGATCATCAAGTTTTGGTTTTTAGATACGGATTGGATGCAAATTTTGTGTGATTTGGAGTTTTTATGAGGGAGTTATTGGCACTCAAAGTTAAGGTATCAATTTCATACCTATTGTCACTCTTTGGAGCATAATATATGTTTATAGGGAAAAAAAAAGGACCAGAAACTAGGATTGAAGAAAGCACTTCATTCACTATACTTTTCATATATTATTTGGTGAATTTGGAATTTAAATGAAGAAGTTATAGAGGGTTGAAATCAGCACATCCAAATCAAAGGCAATAAGTAAGTGATTTTGTTCATAGTAATGATTGGAGCCAAATCTGGAGTTTTTGAATGAACTTTGGATCAAACCTTCTAAAAAAAGTAGTTAATTGTATTAAAAAACTATACATACATTTTTTTGTGGAATTTGGATATTTAATTTGTGAGATATGTAGAAAATTACATGCAAGTGTATAAAAACTAGGGTTTGAAGCTATTGTTAGGATTTTGGTGATATCTTATGATTTGTAATGAATTTGTAGTTGAAATTTGTTGTCGTAGTTTTTAGAAGTACATCAGTACTTCATATAAAATTTGAGTGTGTTTGAATGGTCCGATTGGAAGATATGAGTTTTTGAAGTTCAAAAATAATATCCCATAAGGATATTTAAGGATTTAGAGGTTTTATCATATTTTGGGTAGTTTTGGGAACTTAAGACTTATATATTTGGTGCAATAGCACCTAAAAGTATTATATAGATATATATAGATATATATATATATATATATATATATATATACAAACTTGGTCTTTCTTATCTCAAGAGCTGATTGAGCAATTAGTGGCAGCTAAGAGCTCAGTGCTTTCTTAAGGCAAACTCTTTCTATCCTGACAATGTAGCCCATAGTTAGATAGTATATATAGAGATAAGAGTGAAGCCTTCTTTACTCTTGTCAAATCCTTTCTTGCTTCTAGTCTAGTTTCAAGAGTCTCAAGTTTCCTTGTCTTTTGACAATAAGCCATTCCAATTTTTTTTTAATATACATACTTCTTTATTTTTATTTTGTTACTCTTTTTTTAATATAGTTTTCATTATTTTATGCATTATTTTTAGTTCATGTCCTTGACAAAGAATATACTTATAATATAAAAGCTTTGTCTTGTTTTGATTAAAAGTAGATTATCTTTTTTTCATGATAAGACATAAGTATATTAGAAGTTGCGGATTACTCTTTTTTAAACTGATATTATTCTTAGTATTTTTCTTGTCTTCAAGTCCTTTCTTCTACTTATCTTAAGTGGTATTAGATATTTTTTTATGTATTATTATGGCAAAGCTTGTTGAAATGCAGAGTGTAATGGCACAAATACAAGAGCAATTGAGGGAGTTGATGCATCGCAAGCATCAACTTAGCTTACTACCACAGTGATGAACAAGAATGACAAGAAGTAAAGATATAGAGATAATTAGAGTTGCTTCAACATGTGCACTAAATTATGTCCTTCCACCTAAGGTGGAACATCCTCCAAGTGTTAAAAAACCAAGACTTGCCTTGCTCAAGAAGATTGATGGTACAAGATCCAAATTTTGAGGATTTATTAATTAAGTATAACTTGTAATTGAACTTCAACCTCAAAACTATCCAACTCCAAGATCACAAGTTAGATTCATTGATATACTTCTCTCAAATTTAGCACTATCATGGATTTTTATCTTTTTTTGAATGATAAGATCCAATATTGGATAATCTAAAGGCATTTTTGATAAAATTTTGGTCCATGTATAGAAAACATGATGCAACTTGTGTTACAACCAATAAGATCCATATTTTGTGATAAGACAATCGATTTGTAATATTATATGCTTCATAATTTTGATAACTTGTAACTCATATTAAGTAGGATGATGTTGCACTTATAAGCCAATTTTTCTATAGATGTCAGGGACAAGAACTCGATGAAAGCTAAAGAGTAAGTGAGACTTTTCTCAAAAAGAAATAGGACAAAATAGAAATATGTATATTAAGAAAGAAACTGGAATGGCTATTGCCAAAATACAAGAAAACTAGAGACCCTTGAAACTAGACTAGAAGCAAGAAAGGAGTTGATAAGAGTGAAGAGGGCTTCACTCTTGCCTCTATATATACTATCTAACTAGAAGCCACGTGGCGATGTTCTATAAGACCTCCAATATATGTTGACTTTCTAGGCCACAT